AATATTTTTTGATTTTTGACAAAATCTTCATCTATAAAATAGGTTGAGGCTCTTAAATCTAATAAAAAAAAGACTTTGTGATTTTTAGATCCTAAATTTATATCTATTGTAAAACAAGGTGAGGGTTTTGAAGAGAGAATGAGACCTTTACTAGGTATTGCAGATGATTCCAACCGCATGGTCCCTATTGTAGATAAAAAAATTTATTTTCTGAGACATTATCTTCTTTGGTAATTGTGCTCCTTATTTTATAATTGTGTTCCTTCTTTGGACAATGTTGAGCAGTGTGCTTAGCTTCTCCACAGTATAAACACAAACCCTTTTGGTGAGGTCGAGTCTTTTCCTGTTCTATGAGATTTTTAAAATATATCGTATCAATTTGCATTAATTCCAGCATTGATGAATACGTTTCAAAAAAACTTGAAAGCTCCCATCATTACTTGACTTGTTCTACTTCATCCAAGTCTTTGTTTTTGATGCCTTTCAAATAATCAAATGTTGCATGCAATGGCTTGAGCAATAAATTGTTCCAAATATTTTATTTTCAATATTGTTAATAAGAAATCTTTGACACTATCCTTTAATCCATATTAAAATTGATTGATGAGTGCATTATCATTTCAGTCCACATCACAAGCAAGGTTTTGGAATTTAGTAATATATGTGGTGGCTGATCGTGATTCTTATCATAAAGATAAGAGTTTGGTTTCTACTATTCATTCTCGATCACTTTCTCTGAATGTCATCTTAAACACTTTTAGGAATGAATTCAAATTATAAAAGAGTCGCAAATCTTCATCCATTAAAACTGCAAATCAAGATAGAGCACTTCTCGATAGAAGTGCACCTATGAAAACTTAAAAAAATCCATCAGAATATTGAAAAAGGTGCAACCTTAGATAGAGCTTGACTTGTTGCAAAAATCTTCAAAATTTTGATCTTATTCCATTAAACTTCTCATGCATACTAATTTTTATTCCCGTCATACTTGTAGAAGCAAAACTCCTTGGATTTCGTTGTGAAGTCGATCTACTTGCTTCTTTTAATTACACAACTTCTTGCCGCAGACTCTAAACTTTTTCCATAGGTACAAGCATAGTACCTTCATGATTCATGTTAGAAATACATGAGATTTCTATTCTAAGAGTGTTAACAAGCTCATGAAGATTTTACAATAGTTACAAATCTATTCTTACTTCCGCTAGGTATAGTATCCATAATCTTTCCTTCCATAGGCAACTCAAACAAATCCAAAAAGTTAAATTATAGGAAGGTAATCTGCAACCTTTAATAAAAATTTCTACAAAAAAGGATAATCCACTCTTTTTAAGGAAAGATCAGAATTAAAAAATAAGATTTTTTTTATTTTAAAGGTAGGTAGTCCACAACCTTCAAAACACAATAATAGAAGTGAGATAATCCACTTACTTTTAAAACAAGATAAAAATAGTATATTAGCACTCTTATCAAATTATCAAGGACATAAATTTCAAAGAAAGAGAATGCTTGATAGACTCATGTGTCACTGAAGAGAACTAAAAAGCCATTCAAAAGGTAATGTAATAATAACTAGAATGGCTATTGCCAAAAACAAGAAGATTAGAAAGTCTTGAAACAAGATTAAGGGCTAAAACAGCGTTGGTAAGACTGAGGAAGGCTTCACTCTTGCCTCTTTATATACTTATAACTAGAAGCTACGTGGCAATGCCCTATAAGACCTCCAAAACATGTTGACTTTGCTAACCACATGTCTTAAGTTGCAAGGCAAGTTATCTATGTATGCACCACATACTTAACTTGTTCCACGAGCTACTACATGGAGTTAACTTATTCCACAAGCTACCAATACGTGGTTAGCTTATTGGCCAAGTTTCTAACCTACAAACACATCTAAAGTCAAAACCACATCTATGAAGCTTCTAAGAAGCTTCTCTATATTTACCTACTTCTACCTAATCATATAAATAATTATTAAAGTAAATATATATGTTTGTGATACTATTTTGTAAAGGTGGTTTTCTTTGCATATATCAAAAAGCATTGTTTTCTACTAATCTTGCAACTCAAGCTATAGGGATTCTTGTCTTTCTACACAATGATTTATAAGGTCCAATATGTATACTTTTTTTTTGGAATTTTTTTCTATTTTTTCATCTTTTTTGATGATTTTGCTAGATATATTTATACCTACTTCTTCTAGAGAAATTAGTTGTAATACAATACTTTAGGCAATACAATGATTTTGTAGAAAATCAAACTAGAAAGAAAATTCTTATCTTAAAATATAATAAGAAAAAAAAAATTAAATTTCAAGAATTTTAGCTAGTTTTATACACATTATTACATTCATCATTATCTAATCAAATCTTAAGATTCTTTCTTAAAAGGCATCTATAAACCTTAAAACTATACTTTTAAAGAATATACTTATAATATGCTCTTAAAAATCACTTTATCAATAATTATTAGAGTACAGCCTTACATGCTACTTCTTACTTATAAAATTATTTCTTTCCTTTTGTATTTCTAAATGCTATACTATTTAAGCTTTAAAAATATTGTAAATCTAATTTTAATTATTAAATTTTTTTTATGTTTATTTTTTCTTCATATTCTTAATGAATAAAGGAAGAAGCCTAATTCCAAAGTTAATTATTTTATCTTTATAGGTGATAGAAAATCTCTTGAAATTAAAGACTATGAACTATACCATTCCAATAAAAGTGCCTCTTAAGTTGTTGCAATGTCATTTTTTAAAAAGATGCATTATTTTTTGAAAAGCCACTTTTATAAAAATTTCAAGAAAAAAATATATTGACTTTGAATAAATATTATGAAGTTACTAATAAAATTTCTTAGCCTCAATCCTAACAAACGTCAATGAATCCAATCATTTGGACACTAAATCCATTTACTTAATGCATTCTAGAAAAAAACGTCTTTTATTTCTTTTTAATTTTATCTAAATCAAAAACAACTATATTTTATAATTTTTTCTTCACCTTGGATGTCTTGATGTCAAAGAAAGAAAAATTTCAATCTTAGAATTTCATGATAATAATGCATTTGAATATACTTTTATAACTTAATTTTCTAAGCCTACTTACATTTTGAAACCCCTCATTAGATTAAAAACTTTTCATTGCCATACTGCCATGGAGTAAAAATAAACAACTTTAATTGTCAAAAAAACCTAAATTTTAATTTATTCTCTTGTTGATTAATTCATTGTTAGTTCAAAATATTTTTTTTGGCATAAAAACAATTACAATAAGTCTTTAGTATAATATAAGATCTATTTTGTAAGACAAGGATTTTCTTAGCATGTAGGATTTAATTACTTAGAAATCTTCTATTCTATCATCAAGATGACATTTGTTTGAATTTTATTATCTATTTCTATAATTTATAATGATTATGTCTATTAAATAGATAAAAACATCTTTTTTTTTATATAGCATTTTTAACAAAAAAAAATCTATACTTTTGAAATTGAAGCATTTATTGTACCAAGTTTTAAAATTTTTTAAATCCTTATACAAACTTAAATAAGCACAATACTTGTAATATGACTTATTTGATCAATTTCTTATTAATTAAGATTTTTTCAAATATGCATTCAACATTGATATCTATTTTAAGAAATTAAAATCTATTTTTTTAATTAGATTATATGAAAATAATTTTATTATTATTTTATCTATTTCTATTATTTATCAACTTATAATAGTAAAATATTATAGTTTTATAAAATCACCATATTGGAAGGCACCAACTTATATGTAGTATTTAAATATTTGGAATCAAGTCCATATTTTAGACTATTGATATAAATGATACAATTAGAAATATTAGCAAAGACATTCATTGTATTGTCTACACCAATTAAGAAGTAAGTTGTAAGACTCTAATTTGTTGATGATAATTTTTTGCCTTGCAAAAGTAGAGCAATAATTTTGAGAGACAACTTGGATGCATTTAACCAAATTTGAAGGAAATGTTTTGAAGATAGATGCATTTTTAAGTCTTCTTTTTAACATGACCAATTAGATTCAATTTGAAGGTAATTATTAGCTATAGGAGGATAATTTGTAAAGGTGAATGCAACACTAAGTTTAAAAGTATCAAATCCATTTGGTTCGTACTTGAATGATGTTGTTAGTTCTTTAATATATTATTTTGGATGAATTTAAAATAGAAGATTAAAAAAGATGTAGATATCAATTTAGATGAATAATTAAATCAATAAATAAATTTTTTATGGATATGATATTTAGATAAATTTACGAATGTAAATGTGATGCATTTTTTAAATAAATAATTGATATGATATTCATTATATAAATTGGATAAATATTGGCTAATTGAATATTGATTGGATGATTATATGAATTTAATCAATTAATAGATCAATAACTTAAATTTGATCATAATACATAATTATTAATTTATATTAATTATTTTATATAATTTTTATATTAGAGTTTTAAAATATCAAGTTGGATGTATTTCATTCTTCTTATAATAATACAAATATAGATATAAATTTACTATTAATTTAATTATACTTGTATATTTATTATTTTGTTGATTTATTATTTTTTAATAGAATTATAAATTAAATTTGATTTAATTCATAGGATATCTATATATATATATATATATATATATCTTATATTTTATTTTTTAATAATTTGATTAAATAAGGATAGTGTTGTATTTTAATATATCTATTTTATAAAAGAAAACAAGAAAGATCATGTCATAGAAGAATTTAACAAAATATATAGTAAAAAAGTATTGAACAAGCTTTAATAAATTCATTTGGGATTTTAAGTTAAGATTTACTAACCAAGCATTGCAATACATATTAAAAATTTGCAGCTATTAGCTCTCTATTTTTAGATTTATAGAGGATGCATTAGAGTGAACTAGGACATAGGATTTTTAAAAAAAGACAATTACAAAAGAGGTCAGAAATCTTTCAGGACTAGGTTGCGTGTGGATCAAGACAGCCAGTAGAATCATCTGACTGGTATATTATGATACAAATGAAGGAAAGAATCTTGGTGATACCGATTGCTATCAACTGGGATCTCAATCACCGAAGCCTACGGAGTAACTGTGAATACTCAGAAGAGAACAGAATGAATTCTCCTATTACACTCACAGAATTTGGATTAAGTGACATGTCCCCCTACTATACAGAAAAAATCAGTCAATATGGATAGTGGAAAAAGAGAAGGAATTTATCTAAGACATGCTCTGGACAGGATTTACTACATGTTTATCTAAGACATGCTCTGGACTCAAGAATACAAAGTCTTCCTTGAAAAGCACGTCTCTCCTTGTCTGCACTCTGCTTTGGACTGGAGAAGACCGCTTAATTGCTGACCCTGCACTGCATTGATCACTTATATACTTCAAACTGGGGCAATGTTGCAATAAAGTGCACCAGCAGGGGCGTGGAGATCAAGAAGCACCTCATTTAGTTTCCTAGGCACCTGAGCACTCCTAAGTACTTCACCCGTTTCATGCTGCCCCTCTGTAGGCGCAACCTGTTTCAGAGCAGATGATATCGTCGTTCTTCTCAAAGCTATAATCTCAATCACATCCATGCCAGAATATCCTACTTGAGTGCGGCAGCTCAAACGGCAATTATTGCTTCCGTTCGAGCTAGATAAAATAACACGGCAAGATACAGAAAATCCATGCACCACACTCTAGAATAAACAACACATGGACCCTACCTGCAAACCTCTCAGTTCATTACAAGTTCGTAGAACACATCTAAGAAATACAGAGAATTACATAAAATCATTTCAACAAGGATACCTCACGTTTCGCTGGACTGCGCGTCAAGTTTACATTCTTCTCCGTTGACCAAATTGTACCACTCACAGCATTCCTGCTCTGGTTTTCCATCTGGATCTCTAGATACTCCGAGAAAGGACTGGTCTCCTTGGGCAATTGAGCCGCCAGAAGGGCTTTTAGCTTCGAACCCTTCATTTCCCTCTCCACAATTGCCTTCCATGATGGTTTCGGAAGATTCATCCGCGGAGTCACCTCTTTGTATCCTCGCGACGTCAGCTTGCTCTTCGCGCTCGACGATTGCGAAGACGGACTGCACACATAGTCCCCAAAAGGCGAACTCTCGGCTGACATGTCAAACGGGACTCCGGGCGTCAAGTTGCCTACGCTACTTGCTCTGCGATGTCGGGCCCTAGGGTTCCCAACACTAGCAGGCTGGCATGGTGTGACAGCAATTGGAGTGGCAGAAAGGGGTTTTGTATCACCTTTCAATGACATTTTCGGCGAATACACTGGAAGAAGGGCAACCAAGGTAGATTCAGAAGCTTCGTTTCGCCCTGAGAAGGATTCTATTTCGGCAGAGGCTGTCATGCGAGAATCAGTTCCAGGTGTGATTACAACATTAGGCTTCATTTCGACGACAAATTCAACTGGAGGCTCACAATCGTCATCCTTCGCGGCCTGCCAGTAAGTCAACTGTAAGAACAAGCACACGTGTAAATAATTTGGAATAACCAAGCACCTTTGGATGGCATATGTACCAATATATTCATGCACTACTTGAACAGACAAGAGAAATGCCGCAAGTTTTAAGCACATTCGTTGTTGCGTATCGTTGGTGATCACCTGAGTGGAATTTTCGTCCATATGGACAGCCTCCTTGAATTCTTCAACTGCTGCACATTTCCAGAATAATACATCGAAATAAGATATAAATTAACTGGCACCAACACCTTTCCTATGTTTATACCAACTCTGGAAGTTAACTTAGTCAATACATCACTACGCCTGTATCTTTTCCGATGCTAATGTATTAGCAGTTCTCAATGAGTTATCCATAGATATTTAAGCGATAACATGCGGACTTTACCTGTATTCGCTCCAGTTCCTTCGAAACCATGAACGGGGATCTTTGATACCGCTGGAATAGCTCCTCTCACCTCTGCCAGGTCAGTGAACTTAACTTTCTCCTCCACACTAAGAAGGGAACGTTCACCATTGCAGCGGACGCTCAGAAATTCTGCATCCGCATTCTACGTGTGCCTGTGAAATACATTTGATTTCTCTGCAGAAGGAATCGATGATTGCTCTCCTATGCATTGCCAGCTCTTCCTTCTCCCATGAGACGGGACAGGAAAAGTTACGACATTCCGCTGGGCGGCGCTAGATTCGGGAACCGTGATTGAAATACCTTCAGGTACGGTATGTGAGACTACTTTCTTCGTCAAGGAGTCCACATCTATTTCTTTTACCGCTTGTCGACCTATGCCACAAAGTCATCAGAGTAAAGCAGCAGATAGTGTAGACAACCTATGATGGCCAGCCTTTGAAATAGAGCAATCACTGTGGTCTGGCGATGAATGGCACATAAACCCCTAAACTAAAGCAACTATCCTCAGGCCTAGTGCGGTAACGATTTAATGTGGATCTATACCAAACAGGTTGGGTCAGAGGCACTGTGCATCAAAAAATCAATATGCAATGACCGCCTTCAGTATCTTCAAAACCAAGAACTTCAAAAACGTAAACAACACTCACCATTTGGGGTGAAGTCTAAATTCTCTTCGGAAGGCGCAGATTGCATACATGGGGTGCCCAAGTCAGCGTCACTACAACCACTGTTTAACCCAAACTGGCGAGACAAAGACGTAATCAGAACAATGCTACCGTCACCGTCCCATACGAGCATCAGATGATTCAGCTATCTTGTGTGTCCCCAACAACGTGAACATCAACCAAATAGCCACTGTCGACAAACAGTACCACGTTCAGAACACCCGTTATAACAAAGAACTCACAGATACACCAGTGTCAACCCTGGCGAGGTTTGTCACCGAGATATTTGACTCCTCTGAGTTGAATTGACCTTCTCTGCCTGCTTCTACAGTCGTGCAAGCCATCTCTACTTGCATGACGCCCTCGCATTCTTCAACAAGCCGCCGCGCTAACTCATCTGTTGGATGAGATTCATGATACAGCTTCAACTGCACCTTTACATCCTCACTGGGCTGCATCAGAAATCTCAAATGTCAGTAAAATGGAAAGTCTCTAATCGAAGCATTCAATATGCTAGGCGTTGTTTCAAGCTATGGCCCCAACTGTAAACACGAACCTCCGCTTTTAATGTCAAGGCCAGCCGGAACAATTCCACCACCACGTCGTGTTTCTTCTCTTCCTCTGCCAGCTTGATTAAAAACAGCCAGTGAGCTGCGGAGTACAGCAGAGAAACAGTACCAGCACCAGATACCTCCACAGAACTCCGAACTGAACCTTTCTTCGAGCACAAACATCCTCCCCTGTCTGAAGAGTAAAACCGGGGGCCTCGAGCCTGCAATTGCGTCCTCTTCTCGAGCAAGCTCGTCCTCATGGTAGCTCGAGGTCGTTTCGCGCCCAGGGAATTGCTATCTTCCATCGCTTTCTTGGCTAAAGAGTCCGGCCTCGTATCCCTTCGAGAGGCAGAAAACACCATGGGAGGATTGAATGAGCTCAGGTTATCTGTCGAAGATCTCCTCTGATGACTTGGAGCTGCCCTGCCTGCAACAAACAGAAAACATGAAGTCAGAATCAAGCCCAGACACAACTTCCATTTCTGAAGCTACCCTGATAACAACAGCACGTTCATCCAACAGCGCATCACCTAAACCCTTCAGTTGCTCAGTTCAGTGTATCACGTCTACCACAGTGGAATGTAGTGAAGGAGGTAGGAGAAGTGCACCTGTGATGAAAGGAAGCTTCGTCATATTCGACTGACCTGCCTGAGGTTCATTTCCAATGCCCGGGGGTTGCTTCTTAGATGCAAGAGGGGCAGCGTATCGAGAAGCCACTGCTGAATACTGCTTCGCAGAGCGCGCCACCTTCTGACCATCCGCCGTGCTCTTTACCATTGACAGATGCTCTTGGCTGCAATGTATCCGAATCCAAAGTGACAATCGGACAAGGGGCAATGTTATGATGTCTAAATTCTTCATCCATCGATACACTGCGGACCGAATTGCACACCGAGCACGCAATCGATCTCTCAGCTTGAAGCATTACCTTTTGTTCACAACGCTCACTCGCCCATTGACATCCTGCAGTGCTCGCTCCTGACGATGACTGAAAGTGGCAGTTCTCCTCAATACAGGACCTAAATGGGCATCCAAAATTTTGAAAGAGTTGGTTCACTTGAATATTCCTTACTGATGTAACACTTCATTCATGCACGTTAAAGTGCAATTCGGAACTTGGCTAAATTGTCTTTTGTCAAATGCAAGCAAGCGCGACAAGGAAAATGTGTAAAACAGTAGGAGATTAACAAACCCAACTACAGCAAAAGTCCAGATCGACATTTGCACTCTTCGGACATCCTTTCAGCAGGACAATACAATAACTAAATGTTACGTTCATCAATAGCAAATGTCATATGGCACATTGATTTCCAAACGGTTGTACACGGACGCGTATGCTCATTAATTGCACTCCACAACGGTATGTAACGCTTTCAATGCACCACTCTTGATAGACTGAACGGACAGTACTCAAATGCTAGTATGGTTACATCAATTGATTTCATGACATGAACGTACATGGTCTGCTGGTTAGATTTCCATGCTTATATCACATGAGATTACACATTTCAATGAAATTTACGCTTGTCTCTGCTTAGAGTGCAAGAGGACTAAAAACTGCCGAACTCGCAGTTCTGGGCGAGGGATAAGAATAATTTGTTACCAGGAAAGGCCATGGATTCACCATCACAGCTACACCGATGCCAGAACGCTCGTTAAAACACACTGCAGAGTAGAATCGCAAGATGCACTCAAGGTTTACCTGAGGCTGCTACTGGAGGCTCCATGGGGCTACACCACCTCCGTCACGGCCTGCCTCCTCAAGAACTTACACCACTAAGCTCCCTCTTCCGACAGCTCTAGAATGTGCCTACAGTCGCACCACGCCACAATCCACCAATGCTAAACTAAACAGGAGAAATCACACTACACCTAAAAGAGCCTCACATTCCTCACACTCATCTTACACCAAGCACAACTTCCCGTTAGCTCCGAAACCAGACAGAACTAAATCCTAGCTCATAAACCTCGCAAAAGTAAATGCTAGTCCTTCAAGGTCATCTCACACTCCCAACACTCACCTTCCAAAAAGGATCGACAGTCAACTCACTCCCATAGATACATTAGAAGACGTCAACACACCCTCAACGATCGGCCATGCTACCTGACATTACCAGAACAATCCAGGCGGGGGGGCATTAAAGTATACCGGAGCAGTGCAGAGGGAGCTCGTCGTTGCTGGAGCCCATGTGCACTCAGACGTCATTGCAGCAGGAGATGGCGATGGCGGGCTCCATGCAGCGCTTCCGACGCGGTGTGGTCCCGCTTCCACGTTCGCGTGTTTCAAATCTCGCGTTCTCTATGCGTGGTTCCGCAGTGAAGAGAACCGTTATAAATCACCTGTTCTCGTCCGCGTTCCCTTCTCTCAGCATGAATTGCGACAGAGGTATTGGACTTGTCCGTGACAAATAGAGCACCAAAGCGACAACGAGAATATTCTACTTGTGCTTTAGATCGTAAGTTCGATGTCACTATTTCCCTGATTTGAAATTTGAAGTGTGAATTCAAATGCTTGAATTCTAGAACTTCAGGTTCTGCTCACATCCAAAACAGTGGGATTCTATTTGTGGCACAAATAGAGTTCTCTTAACACAGCCCTTTCTCTTAAACTATGATTTCAATTTGAATAAGAAAACATTCTCCTAAGGTTGAAAAAAATTGGACATGATTAGTTTACTACTATCAACAATCTCAAAAACTCTTTTAAGGTTCTGAATTTGATCGTTTTATCAATACTGTATTATGTTGCAGTTGTTTTTGGGCAAATTATATAAAAATAGAATTGCACATTCTGTAAAAAGTGTTTGTGAACTTTTTAATAAAATTAAAACTATTGTCAGTAATTTATTACAGATTTATGTTAAATTTAGAGAATCTAAAAACATTTTACTTTTTAGATTGGTTTTGATATTCTAAAAATGTATATGTATTGTATTCTTAATTCAAGATACATAGAAAAAAAAATTAAAAACTGAATAAAAATCATTCATATTATAAAAGTTTATAAACTAATTAATATAAATTAAGTTAATATTTTCAAAAACATAATGTCAATAATATATAGAATATATAATATTTATACACCTTTTATAAAATAAAATAAATAAAATATAAAATAAATTAGTAATTTTTGTGCTAATTTATTAAAGCTAAACAATAGATGGTAGATTATGTAAATAATGTACATAAAAATTCAGTCTACAAATAAAGGATACAAAATTAATTATATTATTATCAAGCCTCTCAATTTGTTCTTAGAGTAGATTAAATTATCATCTAGATAACAAACAACAAAATCATCTAAAAATTCTTGAAAAATATTATTCATTAAATGTTGGAAAATAGTTGATGCATTTGTGAGTCCAAAAGACATGACATTATATCCAAAATGCCTACACTTCATTCAAAATGTTATTTTCTTTTCATATTGTTTTTTAATGCTTACCAAATTATATATTCCATAGAAATTTATTTCTATATAGATCTTAATCAGATTAAATTAGTCAAAAAATCTTAATACGAAAGATAGAAGATACCTATTTTTGATGGTGATCTTGTTGAACTTTTGATAATTCATAAAAATTTGTAATAATCCATCATTTTTCTTTACAAATAAGATAGGAGACTATAGAATAGGTAAATAAACTTTGTGGTAAGTTACTAGTTGGTTATTGATAACCTTGAGAATTACACTGATGGTTAGGCAGTTTAGTTGGTAACAATAGGTTGTTAGTAGAACAAATGGTTAAGAATTCAAAGGGTCATAACCTTTGGAATTTGTTGGCCGACGGATCATCTTTTTGGTAGGATAAAGATGTTGAGGAAAAGGAGATCGGGGCCAGATTGTGAGAGTTGTAAGCCAAGACAAGCTTGGTGCTACCTCTTTTTATTTCTTTGTTGTTGATGAGTAATGGATAGTTTCTGAATACTAAGAAGTTAGTCTGGAGTGCCAGACTGTGAGAGTCGTAAGCCGAGATATTGAATTTTGTGTGATGAATTGAGAAATTGAATACAATAGATAAGCTAGAGATCAGTAATTGAATATATATAAATCACAAAGAGAGTAAGTGGGAGATGAACGGATAAAAATATGGAAGTATTGTTGAATTGATAGTCGTAGAATGGATTATGGGTTGAATTAAGATAGAAGTAGTAAGCCTTGGTATTTTGTAGTTTGATAATTGATTTCAGATAGCCAGAGTACAATCAATTGTGATACTAACAGACCCAATTTATATAACCAGTCTTTCTCCGTGTTCAAACCCACCTCTATTAGTTCAATTGCTTTAGTATATTGAAGCGTGAACACAACGAGAACAACATTTTGGCGTCATTGCTGGGAAAATGATAACAATATGAAATGTTAGAAATTGATTGTATAGGAGATGGAATTATATGTTGAATGAGAACGTGAGAAGAACCAATTTTAGGGTTATAAATATATGAGTTATAATTCAAGGCAGTATTGATTTTCTAAATAAAAATGAAAGATTATGAGTGATAATCATGAAGGAAAGGATTATCAAAGAATTAATCGACAAAGAAAAGAAAGATAGGAGCAATTATGCATAAGAAATCTCCTATGAGAACGACAAAAAGGAATTGTAGGTCCAAGAAAAATCAAAGGCAGAAAAATTCAAATTCAAATAGCAAGAAGACTAATGATAACACCAATGGCCACAGGAATACCAGAAGTACCAATTGCAGTACAAATGGGAGCAGTAAGAGACCGAACTACAAGTGTGGCACCATTACCTACTTTTAGTGGTTGGCCGGGCTCTGATCCTGATCACCATATATCTCAATTCTTGACAGCTTGCATGGCTAATAATAATAGAACTGAAGACATTTAGTTGAGATGGTTGTCAGTAACTTTAAAAGATACAGCTTTTGAATGGTATAATCGACAACCAATGGATAGATTTTCCAATTGGGAGGCCTTGAAGAATGCCTTCCTAATCCATTTTAAACCAATTAGATTTAAAGATCGACTTAGAGAAAGTTTTATGAATAGCAAGATGTTTGCAGAGGAATCACTGGAGTTCTATTATAGCCGGGTCGCGAATATACTTCGTAAATGGTCAAATAATCATATGCCAAATGTGTTTATATTGTCGATATTAATTAATGGTTTGCATCCACCACAATTGAAAATGTTTGTAAAAGAGGCTCGACCAGCTACGGTAGAGGCATCGTTGGCACGAGCAAAGATGTGGGAAGAATGTCATTATGACCAATTATTAATAATGGAGGCCACGATGATTCTAAGTTCAAAAAGCCAATAAATACAATCAAAAAATGTGTCGATGAATAATTATCCACAAATGGCTGACTCCAACATGAAGAATGTTATGTTGCAAAAATCAATTAATGCTACACCACTCCAAGTAATAGCACCAATAAAAATGACACCTTATTTTACATTGCCAACCTATCAACAATCGAAGTTGTTCACAAATGCGATTATTAAAGATCCAAATAAAGCATTGTTATTAAATCTAACAAAGAAGATGGAAGAATTGGCCGTGAATTTAGCTAAAGATAAGAAGAAACGATATAAGCCTTCTAATACGAGACCTAATGTATGGTGTAATAATTATAAGGAAGAAGGTCATTTTGATACGAAATATCCATCACCTAGACAAATGAGTATTCAATGTATATTTTGTAGAAGAAAGCACCCTACCTAAAATTGTTGGCATTTACAAAGGCAACAACAGTTCAATAATCAGATGATACAGCCAACTCAATGGGATATTAATCAAGTACCGATTGAAAATATGAGTAGTTAGAATAATAATAGCTCAAATTGATCTAATCATGGCTTTGGAAATTTTCAAAATACTAATTATAATCTGATTTATGGAACAAAGATGCAGAACAGTGGAAATAATCAAGGAGATAATCCCCAAACTATACCAACTCAATAGTCCAATTCTTGACCAGTAGCAACTGGTCAGCTAGGATTATTTACTATGGCTACCTGAAATCGGCCTAGTAGATATATTCCAGTGGAGACTCCAAGTGTACTTGACGGTATGGATTAAAAACCACTACGTTGCTACCAGTGTAGATAAATTGGTCATTATGCCAGTGAATGTCCTAATCCAAAGTTTATAGACAAATATGCTCCAATATATGGAAATTATAAGCAATCAGGTCATTTTTATTATCAATGCAATGTTCCATTTAATCCTAATAATCATGATCAGAAGATACAATCGACTGTGTAAATTGTAAAAGAAAAAAATAACGAAACACAAAAATCACCAGTTCATCGGGTAGAAGTAGTTCAAGTTGTCCATATAAGAAGTCAGCGAAAGGAAAAAGGATCAATTTAATATTTGGATGATCCTGAAGCAAAGGGCCAATTGGATTTAATTATGGGGCCATTCAATCCAGGTCCTGAAATGGGCCCCTTACTATGTATATGATGTGAATTAGTTGTACACCCCAATGAGGTACCAATTACGGAGGCTTCGGTTCCATTTCAAGATGTTCCATTCTCTATACAGTTTCAGAAAATATTCTTTTCATTGAAAGATCCTCTCAAAGGTTTGAATTCCAAGGAACTAATATTAGTCCAATTGGGAGAACAATCTTACCCATAGAAAGAATCGATTTTACAAGCTCCATCAAATTCAGTTCCAGTAGCTTTATCAATTTTCAATATAGAGAAAACCAATTTACCTGCATCGGTGTCTAGGACTGGGAAGAAGAAATAAACATTGGAAATTATTACTAATACAAAATTATATGTTATTCTAAAAGATTTGGGCACCATACAACCCACGACTTCTATGAAGCAACTATTGGCAGTAGCACCTGAGTGCTGAACTACCTTGAATTCCTCATTAATTTGTACTAGATCTCGAAATAAAGAAATCTGAGAAGTAAGTTTGAATCTTGATCCAGGTATACCAATGATTGATGTCTCAATTGATAGAGTGTTATATCAAGAGTGCAAGTATATAGAGGATCTAGTATAAATCTTATGAATGCCGCTACAATGGAGGAGTTGGGTTTGCATCACTTATTACCTAGTATAGTAGTTTTGAGAATGGTTGACTCCAGTCGAGTTAAACCTATGGGTATTTTATGAAGTATTGATATAGTAATTGTGAAGATTACCTACAAAATTGA